ATTGCATCTAAAAGAGTCAGTATCTCAGAAGCATATTTAATGTCCTTATTGTTGGAGGTTAGTAGTCCTTTCTCCTTTCAAATAGCTCCATGAGCATGTACTATCTTGAAAGCATACTTGGAGTCTGTATATATATTTACCTCTTTACCCATGGAAAGTTGGAGGGCCCCTGTAAGTGCAATCAGCTCTGCTTTCTGAGCTGAGGTACTGGCTGGGAGGGCATTTGCTTCTATTGTCTCGGTTAAAGTCACCCCTGCATATCCAGAGTGATGTTGTCCTTATTCCATGAAGCTCTTGCTAGTCTGAGATGGGGCAATGGATGGTCAAAGAGATCTGTCTGGCTGGAACAGACAGCACCCATGACCTCAAGGCCATCATGCATTCGGCCGTTTTCTATGCCGTTGCTGCTCAGCAGGCTGGTTGGCTTTAGGTTAGTGGTTGTCTGTAAGACTACATTAGGGTTACCCGAAAGAATTCACTTGTATTACAAATTGCCTCATATTTGCACATATGCCCAGCAGTAAGCCAGTATCCTCTTTTTGTTCTAAAAGAGTCAGCACCTGGTGGGGAACATACATGGTAATAGCTTGTCCCAAAGTAAAATTTTCTTGTAACACGTCATAGGTAGCACCTATAGCCCTTAAATAGGGCAGCCATTCCTTAGTAGTTTGTTCCATCTGTTTAGAGAAGAATGCTATAGGTTGGGTTACAGTTCCAAGTAATTGGATTAAAACCCCCAGCCCATGTACATACAGATTGAAAGACTTTTGAGGGTTGGGAAGACCTAAGGAGGGGACGATTATCATTTTTTTCTTTACGGTTTTGAATGCCTGCAAGCATTCTTCAGTCCAATATAGAGGCTCAGCGCCTAGCCCCTTTAATGCCTCATATAAAAGCCACAATGTTAGCCCATATTAGGAATCCAAATGCAACAAAACCCAGCCATTCCCCCAAACCCTCACAATGCCTTCTATTGCTTGGGGGCTTAGTTGCTGCTATAGTCTTCTTCATTTCAAGGACAAGACTGCATTTTCCTTTACTTAGTGAAAAGCCTAGGTAGGTATTTTTTTCCTTACCAATTTGGGCTTTGAAAGAAGAGACTTTTTATCCACATTTAGCCAAATGATTTAATGTGATGATGGTGTTCTTTAAGCATTTGTCATAGGTGGGGCTAGCAATCATCTACATATTTTAATAAGAAATCTCCTACTAATGAGTATTGCTTTATACAAGACCTCAGAGCTATAAATAAGATAGTGCAAGATATTCACACTACCGTTCCAAGTCCTTTTACTTTGTTGACAGCCATGCAGGGAGATTATGGTTGGTTTTCAGTTTTGGATTTGAAGGATGCATTTTTCTGCAAACCGGTAGATGGAGATTTCTTTACCAGCTATATAGGATTGTTATGGGGACATTGACAGGGCCAGATAAACAAGTCCATGTTTTAAAAACTTTTGTAGCACAGGCTGAATACTTTCAAGTCTTCTCTTTTCAGGGGATATTGTTTTTTCCTAGCAACTCCTATGCCTCTCCTTTTTTCATTTCTATAGATAACGGACTTACATTTTTGGCTCTGCTAGGGACCCCATCCACCCAAAGTGTTTTACTCACTTGTTTGTAGACTTTGAGTGGAAACAGTTCACCTTTTGGAGGTCTGACTCCAGCAAGGAGCATCTGGAACTGCCAAGATTGCTTGAGAGGCACTTGAATCTGCATATGTTGTTTCTCAGGAGAAAAAATCACTTGTGCATCTGATTTACATAGCAAGTCTCTTTCCAGCAAAGGGATGGGACACTCAGGCATATACAAAAAGCTGCATCTCAGTGTCATGTCACTCAGATGGCAGTACAGAGGTTGAAGAAAAGGCTTTTGGGGGGGGTCTACCTCTAATTCCTGTTATGAAAACTGTCTTCCCAGCACTGTTAGCTAATTTAGTGTTTAAGACGGAGCAACTAGCACCAGTGTCTACCAGAAAATCAATTAATTTATTCCCCACTGTGCATTGTACCCAGGACTCCCGTGAGGAAAGATGTAGTAACTCCAAAAGGTTAGTGTAGCCCCTGGGCTTCCTCTCTCATTCGCCATCAGAGGTGCTTCAGCATTCCTTCATGTGCCTTTCAGCTGCACCCTCCTTGTTTAGCTTTGGGCAATTGTGTCTCCAATATTCTTCCCCTCTACAATGTGAGCCTTGATTGTCCCCCAGTGTCCATTTTCATCCTCACCTCAGTTCTTTCACCTTTTCCTTTCACTTGCTTCCCCATTGTTTCAAAAATATTATAGTTTGCCTAGATTTACAAGTTTCTCTGGCATTAAACACCTTATAAACCACCTCCACTAGTTGCAAGGGATTCACCCCTACAGCTCCGGCAAACTCCTGTAATTTATAGCAGGTATCTGAAGCACTCTGTCCAATAAAAGGCATATTTGCCATCCTCATTTTCTCTGGGGCTTCCGGGTTTGCATCAGAATACGTTTGATATGCCTGGCATATATGTTCCAAAAACTGAGCTGGGTTCTCCTCTACCTCTTGTTTCAATACTCGTATTTTATTTAGACTCCTATGCTTAGGTACTTCCTTTTAAACCCTACCAGTATACACTGTTTGCAGTGATCCAGCCTCACCACCCAAGACAAAATGTAGGAAGACAAAGATGCCCTCTTTCCCCCTCTTATCCAGAATAGTACTAGAAGTTCTAGCCAGTGCAATAAGGCAAGAAACCAATGGCATCCAAATGAGAAAGGAAGAGGTTGAACTGTCATTATTTGCAGATGATATGATCATATACATAGACAACTCTAAAGATCCCACCAAAAAAATACTAGAATTAATAAATGAATTTAGTATAGTGGCAGGATACAAAATCAGCATACAAAATCAATAGCCTTGCTATACTCCAATAATGAAATAGAGGGAGAAGAAATCAAGAAAGAACCCCGCCCCCCATCACCACCAAAGAAAGAAATGCCTGGGAGTAAATTTAACCACAGAGGTGAAAGAACTCTACAATAAAAACTATAAAACATTGGTGAAAAAGAAGTGAAGAGGACACAAATAAATGAAAAGATATCCCATGTTCATGGCTTGGAAGAATTAACCTCATCAAAATGTCTGTATTACCCAAAGCAATCTACACATTGAAATCAATCCCTATCAAAATGCCAATGACATTCTTCACAGAAATAGAAAAAAGAAATCTTAAAATTTGTATGGAAGCACAAAAGATCCCATGTAACTAAAGCAATCTGGGTCAAAATGATCAAAGTTGGAGGCATCATAATTTCTAACTTCAAAATATACTGTGAAACTACAACATGGTACTGGCACAAAAATAGACAAATAGATCAGTGGAATAGAACACAGAGCCCAGAAACAAATCCACACACAGTCCAGTGATTTTCAACAAAAGTGCCAAGAATACACAGTGGGGAAAGCACAGCCTCTTCAATAAATGGTGCTCGGAAAACTAGACATCCACATGCAGAATATTGACACTAGACCCCTGTCTCTCTCCCTGTACATAGAAGTCAACTCAAAAACTATGAAATTGCTAGAAAAAAAACACAGGGGAAATCCTACACAAAATGGGAGTGGACAGGAGTTTTTTGAGAAAGATCACAAAGGTACAGGCAACTAAAACACAAATACACAAATGGGACTACGTTAAACTAAAAAGCTTCTGCAGAGCAAGGGACACGATCAACAAAGTGAAAGACAGCCTACGAATGGGAGAAAGTGTTCGCAAATTACACACCAGACAAGGGGTTAATATCCAGAATTTATAAGGAGTTCAAGCAACTCAACAGCAAAACCCCCTAAATAACCTAATTACAAAATGGGAAAAGGACATGAATAAACATTTCTCAAAATAAGACATACAAATGGCCAACAAGCAAGTGAAATGCAAATTAATACCACCATGAGATATCATCTCACCTTAGAACGGTTATTATCACCAGACAGAAAATAACGAATGCTGAGGAGGATGTAACGGGCACCCTCCTACATTGTTGGTGGGAATATAAATTGGTACAGCCACTGTGGAGAACTAAAAATAGACCTACTGTATGACCCAGCTATCCCACCAAGGGGTATGTACCCAAAGGAAATGAAATTAACATATTAAAAAGACTCCCACGTTCATCACAACACTATTCACAATAGTCAAGAAGTGGGATTAACCAAACTGCCCAGCAGAGGATGAATGGATACAAAACCTGTGGTGTATATTCACTGTGGAATACTACATTAAAAAGACTCCCACGTTCATCACAACACTATTCACAATAGTCAAGAAGTGGGATTAACCTAACTGCCCAGCAGAGGATGAATGGATACAAAACCTGTGGTGTATATTCACTGTGGAATACTACGCAGCTATGAAAAGAAATGGTATCCTACCATTTACAGCAATGCGGATGGAGCTGGAAACCATCATGTTAAGTGAAGCAAGTCAAGTACAGAAAGACAAATAACATGATCTCACTCATATGTGGAATCTTAAAAAAAAAGTGGTTCTCATAGAAGTAGAGTAGAATAATGGTTGTCAGAGGCTGGGGGCGCTGGCAGGGGGAGAAGTAGCTGTCTACCCTAAGGGAATCATTGTGCAGTATATAAACGTATTAAAAGAACACAGTGCAGCCCATAAATATGTACAAGTAAATGTTAAAATAAAATTTTTAAAAAGCCTAAATTGAAGCTGAGGTTACGTAGCTTCATGCTTAAGAGAATCTTTGTTTCAAACAGCAACAACATAATTCTTATTCTATGCTTCTCTTAGATATATATTTTTTTTTCTGCTGAAAATTCTCTAAAGAGCATTCTTTACATGTCACAGTGACAGGTCATTGCAGGTCCTTCCTTTTCTAGTCCATAATGTACAATATTTCAGAAAAGTGAGAGGCCCTCTCTTTCCCAACATCCATCTCAATCCTGGGTAGTGAAGAAAAACCTGACTGACCCTGACCAATGCATATATTTGTTTTTCATTTTCTCACAGATTGCTGTAAGAGGACATTTATGTAGAAAAAGCCAAGATCTGTGTGATCTGCCAGAATATTGCAATGGAACATCTGAGTTCTGTGTGCCTGATGTGAAAACTGCTGATTTAGAACTATGCAATAATGACACCACCTATTGCTATGGTGGAATATGCCAAGATCCTGATAAACAGTGTGTAGAGTTATTTGGAAAATGTAATAATTGTACCTTTTTTTCTGGGGTTCATTTTAAACTGCAGTTATTCTAAAGTCAATAATCCACCCTACAGCCATAGTATAGAACATGTTGTTTTACATCCAAATTTAAAAATAAAATTGCAAATTAAAGCAACTTTGAATAATGTCAAGACTTAAAATGAACCTAATGACTACAGGACAAAAATTGTAGGACATCAGTCAAATTTCAGGTGATTGGTGGAAAGAGTAGACTATTATTACAGTAGAAGAAAGAGAAAATGATCTCTCAAGCATTTCTGCACTTTAATACAAATTTTTTCTATTATCAAGTGGGTAGTTTTAGTATGTTTCTACTTCTTGTATAGCCAGCAGATGACACCAAAAATTTATAGTAGATGACACTGACTGTGCATTGTTGTTGTCTAAATGTCTCTATATTAATTTACAACGTGTTTGGCTTTTACTGATTTTTTAAATATGGGTAATTGAAACTTTTAATTTATGTTTTCAGTTGCTAAGGTTTCTTCTTATCTGTGTGGACAAGAAATAAATTTTCTAAATGACAAATTTGGAAACTGTAATCGACGTTGTGATTTTAGGTATGTATTTAAAGAATTATACATTTTCCAAATGCATGTAGATGTGTTGTGTGTATACTACAGAGTCACTTAATACAAAATGAGCAATAAATCTAGTGTATAGAGATGGATTTATATGTTGCATTTCATAAGATGGATATGTTCTGAATAGCTTTGGTGTTGTAATCTGAGTAATATTTAAAATTATTTTCGTATTTTGAATTGTTATTTACCTAATATGTTGTGTACCTAAGTGAAAGATGATTAATTTTTCTGCCTTATATTGCCAGGCATATTCTTTGTGGGAAGATTGTTTGTCACTGGGCACATTCAGTGTTAATACCAATTATAAATTATGATATACAATATACGCTCATGGGAGGGCAAGTATGTGTGTCTGCGCATTTAAGAAATACTTCAAAAAAGGATATTACCTACACAAATGATGGTACTATGTGTGGTAAAGGAAAGGTAAATACAACTTTTATTTGATACTATATATATGATGTATTTGTATGTGAGTGTCTTGAGTATGAGTGGGTGCGTGTGTGTGCGTGTATGTGTATGTGTACATAAAAGAGAGAGACAGGTAGAGAGAGAGATAGAAAGAGACCTTAAATTTTTAATTTTTAATTAGTGTTTCAAATTTTGGTTACTATATCATGATCTTAAAATGCAAAGTTCAGGGTTTCTGTTGGTCAAAGAAACTTTTGTTTCACTATCAATGACTTTATTACAAATTTTGCTGTAGATATTTAAATTAGTTTTCTCACACTTGAGAATCTAAGACTCCTTAGATCAGGTCTGCAATAATTTGTGTAAAACAAGGACAGAAAGTCATCAAATAATACACCAAAAATGTCAGAACAACCTGAATAAATAAGAATGTTAAAGAAAAATATAAGAACAAAAAGCCCAGTATTTAGTCTTTCACTAATTGACAAAGAGAATTAATTTGGTTATAAATAAAGCAAAATATTTAACTGTTCATTAACCTGTTCCCCTAATGCTTCCTCCAAAAGCATAATCTCATTAAATATTTGGTCCTCTCAAAAGACATGATAATAAAATGTAAAGTTTGAGCTTTGTTTGTTTTTTTTTTTCTTAAAAATATTGTGAAACCTAATAAGGGATTTTCAAACTAGTAACATTGAAAAATTAGTTGACTAATGAAAAAAAAAGATATGACTTTCACCCAGTTTAGTAAAAACAATTTGCATATAAATAAAATCTTTATAAAAATAAAATATAAGAGAAAAATGCAAGTGAATGGTAAATTGATCTCAGAATGGGAAAAGATATTCTCACATAAAATTGTGAAATAATCACAAAGGGACATGTTGGTGCTGAAACATTATGAAGTAATATGTTGTCCCTTCAAACACCATTTGAAACAAACTGAAAAAATATTTACTATAAATATGGCAGTGTAAATACATAAATATATTAGCTCATTTTATCATTAATTAATTATCACTAATGTGTTGTGTATATGTGTATATGGTATAATACAAAAATATATTTGGTCTTTGTCCCTGGTTTCTGGCACACAGCTCCTAGCAAAACCCTTAAATTTTCCTGATAGGAGTGTCTTTTGTTATTCATAATAAGCTCCTTACAATCACAGCTGAGTTTTTGCTTATTTCCATCATGCTTTAGTTTATGCTAATGTGGTGACAGGATGGGATTCCTAGATAGCCTCAGGGCAGGGCTGGTTACCACAAGGACGGAGTGATCAGAAGGATGGAAATTTCAGCCCTACCCACTGACTTCTCCGAAGGAGAGAGGTGGGACTGGAGTTCTGTAAAAACTCTAGAACAACGAGATTCAAAGATCTTCTAGGTTAGGGAAAATGTCGACTTGCTGGCAGGTTGGCACACCCGGAGAGAGCACAGACATGCTCTTCTCAACACCTTGCCCTGTGCACCTTGACTATCTGGCTGTTCCTGAATTGTATTCTTTACAACAAACTGGTCTATGTAAGTGAAAGGACGACAGGACCCGAGCTGACAGTTCACCGGAGAAGTTCCGCTTTATTTAGGGGAGAAGTATATATAGAGCCGGTTCTGGGAGAGGGTGGTTAGTACACGGGGGGTAGTTGATTGGCCTGGGGCGGGTAATGATTTCTGATAGGCTGCACCTTGGCGCCGGGGAGATTGTTAGGACCCGGAAGAGAAAAGCGCCATGTTTTAGGGAGTGCCTCCTTTGGGGTCTTCTATGGGGCCTTACAGTAAGGAAAGTGTTTTCCTAAGCTCTGTGCTCCATTTTAACAAATTATTACCCTGAGGACGGGGTTATAGAAACCTCCAATTTATATCCAGTTTGTCAGAAGTACAGGTTATCTGGGACTTTTGATAGGTATCTGAAGTGGGAGAAGTCTTGAGGAACTGAGCCCTTTAGTTTGTGGGATCCGATGACAACTCTAGGTAGATAAGTAGTGTCAGAACTGAATTGATTTGCTTGACACCCACTTGGTGTCAGAGAATTGGTTAATGTCAGAGAAAATATCCCACTATACACACACTATATCAATGCAAAAAAAAAAAAAATCTTATGACTGGGAAATATAAAAACTTTCCACCCAACTTGTGATTAAATAGATGCAAAGTAAATAAATAACCATGTATTGATTTTGTCATGTAAGTTGGGCCTTGAAAATAATATTTGATGTAGAGAAGTATATCTTATTATCATGAAATAAGTATAAATTAGCATATCCTTTCCAGAAAGTGATGTAGAGATGTGTAAGGCGTTAAATATATTATTGTAGCTTTTCATCCATTTCTAATGCAATAATGTTAAATTTTCAGATATTAAGAAATATGCATTGGCATAGAGGAATTATGATTTAAGTTATAATGAGAAAAAAACCAAGACACAATAGATGCTAATTTTAGATTGCTGAGATAAATTACAGTATATCCAAAATGGAATATAAAATTTGTTCTAAAATGACACATGAAAATACTTTTTTTTTTTTTTCCTTTTTGTCTTTTTTTGTGTCCGGCAATGGGATCGCAACCCTCGGTGCTGTGCCCGCCCCTCGCTCAGCCAGTGAGCGGGAACCGGTCTGTATGTGGGATCCGAACCCTCGGCGGGAGCGCCACCGCACTTCCCAAGTGGTGCACTGTAGCAGTGCGCCACCGGGCTGGCCCTGAAAATACTTTTTAATGACATGGAAATATATTTGTAATATTATGGTAAGTGAAAAATCAGAGAAAAACCTGCAAAATGTGCCTTTCTACTTTTTAGAGTGCACTGATACATGAAAATTCAACGGGATGCAATTTCTGCCAGAGCATAGATCATGTCTTTGGTTGCAGGTGTCTTGCTGGACCGCTGTAGCCCAAGATTGTAGCAAATCTTTGGCTTTATGTCTTAATCATTATAGATTTATGATAGGTAAAAAGTAAAGTGTTTTAGGAGAAGCCCTAGCATCAAGTATTGTGGCATCAATAGCATTTGAAAGCATTTAAGACCTGGAAAGATCTAATAAAAAATATTCAAGATGTCTTTTACACTGATAACTACAAGGCATCAGAGCATCACAGAAGACTTATGTAAATGGAGAAATAAACCATACTCATATATTAGAAGATTCACTATTGCTAAGATGTCAGTGTTTTCAAAATTAATTGTAAATATGATGTCATGAGAATATATAAGAATATATCTAAGCAGGTTTTTAAATTTTTTAATGGGGAAGACTGCTGACAAACTGATTTAAAAGCTTATGTGAAAATGCAAATAGCTAAAAATGCAAAATAGCCAATGCAATTTCAAAGAAGAAAATGCAAGCTGAAAATTTACTAAATGTCAAGAATTATTGTAAAATCAAAGTAATTAAGACAATGCAGTATTGGCACAGTGCTAAATTAACCTATAGACTAAAATAGAAAATATTATTTCTGAAGAAGTTTAGATCAAAATATTTTAATAATAAAGACTATGTTTAAAACCTTGGTGAAGTGTGTGTTACACTCAAAGATTTTTTAAAGTAAGGCACAAAATGAGTTACGAGAAAAATATTGATAAATATTTTATTTTATGATAAAAGCCACTGGATGGAGACTTAAGGTTCCAGAAAGATGGACTAGGCATATTTTTTCCTATTTCTTTTACTATGTACATCTAAAAATCCTAAACATTACATAGAAACATAAGAGGACTCTGACGGTGGAGAGAAAAAGGCAGATTAGCTAGGGACCTTGGAACCCAAGGTCTCTCCCTCTTCCCCCCCCCCCGCCTCTTTTGTTGCTTCATTTGTTCCAAATTGAGTTCCAGAGCAGTCAGCAATTCAGAAAAGCTAAGTGTCACAGACAAAAAGAAGTCCTCAAAGAAGGCCTGCCTTCACTAGCCAAAGGAGCAGTGTAGCAAGACGTGTGTACATTTTAAAATTGTTACTGCTCTGCTTCAGCCAAATTATACAGAAAAAAACGTGCCCCAAGTTGAATTCTGCAGCGTGCTGCGAGCAGAGACCTAGTGGTGAGCCTGTGTTCCCCTGACCCTAGCAGGATTCTAGAGCCCTCCCACCCCAGGGGTTAATGGCACCTGTAATTCCAGCCATGCCTGGCCAGAATGGGGTAGTGTCCCTTTTCTTTCCCCCAGAGTTTTAATAGAGGAGGAATGTTAAAACAGAAGGTTTAATGAGATTCAGATTCTCATCACATAATACCCTAAATATCTAGATTTCAAGCAAAAGTCACTCTTTATACCGAGAACTAGAAAAATCTGAACTTGAATGAGAAAAGACAATTCACAAAAACCAACACTAAGATGGCACAGACGTTAGAATTATCCTTTAAAGAATCTAAAGCAGTCATCGTTAATATGTTCCACTGAGCAATTACAGGAAGGCTTGAAATTCATGGAGCAATAGAAAGTTTCAGGAAATAAATAGAAAATATAAAGAGGAACCAACCGGAAAATTTAGGACTGAAAAATACAATTATCAAAATCTACGAGTGAATGCCGAGCTCAAGAGCGAGAGAATCACGAGGTCCCTCCTTCGCAACACGCCGTCTTTATTCTTTGTTAGAATTTGACTCCAGCGATTTCATTTTGATTCAGACAACTTTCCCGCTTTCCCCTTTTCGTCAAGATCTTTCCCCAAAAGCATCACTGATCAACCTTCCTGTAGTTTTATTGGTGGTTTCATGGAGCCAGATGGACTCGTTCTTGTTGTTGGTCTGGTTGCATGTTGGAGGAAACTGAGCAGTGACTGAAAGTAAGTGTTGAAACCCTTTTAGCTACACTCGAGCAAGGAGATTTGGAAAGAGAAGCTGTCAGGGTAAGTACACCTGAAGTGCATTGTCGAATTCGGTTTTGTCTGTTCTGTAGGCATTGACTATCATCTCAGAGAACTGGGCCAGCATTATTTTGTTAGAGGTGTACTTCTGCAGAATTTTGACAGGCAACAGGTACACGTAGTTTAAAGGAAATAACACAAAACCAAACCAACAAACATTATA